TTTTGGAGATGATCGCCATATATTTATCCTCACGCACATTTGAATGGGGGTTACCGGACATTGCAAAAGCCAAATAGTTTTGGATGGCCATCCAAAAATATTCAATGTGTGAACTAGTTTGCCAACTTTTGTAGACAAAATACGAAAATATCCATTCCAGTGTATTTTTGGAGAATTCACAAATACAGGAAAGACGCACTTCTGACTATTTCGTTAAGGCTGATTTCGTTGAAGAATATAGTCAAATGTCTGTATCTCATATAGATGCGTTTCAGTCAAAAACCAATAATAAATGTTAATCTTTTGCCACTTCTGAGAGATTATAGGTCTTTGGGAAATATTGGTTCCAGATCTAGGAGGACCATTTACGTGCAACATCTTCCTATAAATTGGAAATGAGCAAATTAGATCAAGCTACTATTATTCGAAAATTAGAATGAAACCTGATGGTTTTCTTTTATTATTTGTCACAATATCTTGTGGAATTCTTTCGAGTATATGGCCTATATAAACTGACAAAGATCATGGCCTCAATATATATCATACAAATATTATTGCAAAATGTTTAGCTACCGAATAGATTCAATTTAATTTGTATTTTTATTGCAAGACCTTTTAATATTAATTACAGTCTTTATTTGGCCAACTATATTTTAATTATCATACCTACCAAGTAGTTTTATGGCCATGGACCATCCCAAGTAGTTAACATTCTTATCAATCACATATTGATTAGTAAAATTAAATGCTAAACCATTTCAATCGGTATTTAGTTGTTGGCGATTTTAATGACCCCCATAATTTGTAGTCCCCCCGATGGAAGATGGCATCACTAAACCTATAATAAAATCATCAAATCACACATTGATCTGTATTGGTTACAACTCCATTTCCACTTCCACTTTTTTTTCGCAAAAAGCAACAACGTCACCCAGGGCTAAACTCCACATGACCATCATAAAAATACGCTGTGGTGATATCTGTATTATACGGGAGAGCGAAATAAAATCTACATTTTACCACTTTTTTTAGATTACAATGTTGCTTTATGGCCTGCCATCTTGTGAAAGGGTGAACGTGGGTCATAAAATTGTCCATGGCACCAATTCTTTTTTCTTCTTCTTAAGATGTAAATTGTAAGCTAAAATTAAGTCATTCTTGGCGCAGGGGACTGACTCCGCGGGATCTAAATGAGAGATCAATTTTTATGTTTTCATTTGATTCTTTTAATAAGTCTTTAACTGAAATCATAATATGTTTGAGCAGTTCGAAATGATAAGCTATTTGTTTTCACATCACAAAGGCGACTTTGTTTAATTTTAAGAAGTCCAAGTGCACGGTGGACCATATTTTGAACAATATCCAAATAGAAGATGGATAAAAAAAATATTTTGAATTCGTTTGCACTCAGCTTCAATGGCATTTGAAGTGATTTTGAGGGAATTAGGCAAGAAACATTTTAACCTAGTAAATGGACCACATTACTATCGGACTTTTTAAATGTTTTAAAGCTTAAATCTTTATCTCTATGAAAAATAATGCACGTATATAATTAAAACCAGTAAGGAACAGTCAAAAGTCGGGTGAAGCCCACTATGTGATACCCTACACCAATATGCACATTTAGTAAAGCTCCCGTAATAAAATAATTTATTTAAAGTAGATCATATCACCTAGCAACATTAGGCTTAAGAGCAGCTATAATTTGGTTTCAGAGGAAACTAATATATGGGGCATATCCAATTCTGAATCGATTTCCACTAAATTTGACGGAGACATTTTTATCTTTTATTGAGAAGGATTATATTAAAAATATATATCATCGGAGCCGTCTTCCACCTAATGAAAACGTACGACTCGAACTTCAATGCATTTGGGCTTTTATTAGGCATTATTTGTACAATAAACCTGAAATCGGATTAAGGATATGTATGGGAGCTATATCCAAATCTTAGCCGATCTCGGAAAAAAAATTGCAAAGGTAGTTCCTAGCTCTATAAGATATCTGGTACCAAATATCATTGTTGTCGAATGCACATTACGAATGTGAGGGACTTAAAGACCAAGTCGGATGTAACACATACAGGTTGAGGTGAAAACCTGCAACAAAGTCAAACACCATAATTTATACACTTTTGTTTAAAATTTATTGAATGAAAGCAAAAACTGACGGAAATAGCATCAAATTTTAGAATAAGTTTAGATTTTGTTCGAATTGGCCACCTTTGCCACGAATTATGGCTTTCAAACGGTCCATTCCCGGCGAAGCGCTTGCTTGAGGTGCAACTAGTGCTAACTAGCTAGTGCTAACCTTGCTTTCCAAAATACTCCAGACACAATATTCCAAAGGATTGGTATCCGGAGATTTTGGTGATCATTGAGCGCTGGAAATGAAGTGAGGAACCTCATTTTTTAACCATTCTTGAGTGGCGCGTGCTGAGTGCGATGGTGCTGAGTTCAGTTGGAATGTCCAATGTCAGCGTCAAAATGTTTGCGTGCCCAAGGCTTTAATACACCCTCCAGAATATTTTCGCGATAATATTCGGCATTTATTCTGATGCCATTAATACGAGCGGAGAGCGACCATCGGCTGTTATGGCGGCCCACACAATATTCCAACGGATTGGTATCCGGAGATTTTGGTGATCATTGAGCGCTGGAAATGAAGTGAGGAACCTCATTTTTTAACCATTCTTGAGTGGCGCGTGCTGAGTGCGATGGTGCTGAGTTCTGTTGGAATGTCCAATGTCTGCGTCAAAATGTTTGCGTGCCCAAGGCTTTAATACACCCTCCAGAATATTTTCGCGATAATATTCGGCATTTATTCTGATGCCACGGTCGATTAATACGAGCGGAGAGCGACCATCGGCTGTTATGGCGGCCCACACCACCACCATGGCCGGCGCTTGTTTTGATGGACAACAGAAGGTGCACATTTTAAGCTGACCTCTTTGGCAAGTAAACACGATCATTTTGTTTGTTTACAAACTACTGGGCAACGAATATTTTCTCATCGGAGAAAACCAAATTCGGCAGTTCACCACTTTCCGCCAAGCGAAGCAACTCTTTAGCTCTTTTGAGTCTTTTTTTTTCTGCTACAGTGTAAGTTCTTGCAATTTTTATTAGAATTTCAATTGCTTTACCCCGAGCTCATTTTTCAATATTTGCCGAATTGAAGATGGCGATGTGATATGTTCACCTTACGAGCCATTTTTCGGCCACTGTGACGCAGGTTTCTTACTTTTCGAACCATTTCTGCGGATGTTGTTGTTTTCTTTCATCCACTTCCTTGACGTCGGGCTACACTAGCAGTAACGAGGATAACGAGGATAACGGTAACGAGTGATGGTACGAGACACAAAAGATTTATTCACATTTAAATGTTGGAGTGCTCTAACGATAGCCACTTGTGGTTTTCCAGCCAAATATAAAGAAATCACACTATCACGCTTGAATTTCATAACAAATAATTTTTTTTTTTTGGAAAATTTTGCTTTTATACGATGGTAAACAATATAATGAGCTGTCACTGGAATAATTTTTAACACCTGTCGGACAAGTGGCTTAGAAATGACAGCAGTCTGAAGTTCCTTGCAGTTTTTTCATCTCACCCTGTATGTGGGTACTAAAGCTATATCTAAACGTTTTTTTACCAAATTTGATGTACTTGCTTTTGGACTGAATTCAGTCGGATGGGCTAAAATTCAGGTCATTTGACATTGCCCATTTGGTGCATAATTTACGCGAAATCGGTTGAAGATATATATGGGAGATATATCCATATCTGAACCGATCTTGATACAATTAAGCAGATGTATTTTTGGGTTGTATCAGATATCTGGTACCAAATATCATTTTTGTGGAGTGCATTTTGCGAATGTGAGAGACTTAAACTCCAAATCAGATGAAACACACACGGCTGTGCCAAAATTCAGGTTATTTGGATTAATATTACACATTTGGTCCGCAATTAATCCGAAATCGGTTGAAGATATATATGGGAGCTGTTTATAAATTTGAACCGATTCTCACCAATTTCAATATGGTTCGTCCTTGGGACAATCAGATATTGTTTGGAAAATTTCATCACAATCGGATAATAAATCCGATCTGCATTTTGTTGACAAGAACACATGGACGGAACGACAGACAGACTGGCATGCATAAATCGACTCAAAGAGTAATTCTATGAAGATTCTCAAAAGTAACTATGGGGCGATCTTGCTTCCTTCTCCATGTTACAAACAAATGCACAAAGATAAAGGTATACTTAAGTCAAACCACAGTGCCGCATCTAAAACTATTGACTACCGTTTTTTTTTTAAGTGATTAAAATTCAATAACGACATTGAAATTAGTACTAAAAAGGCAAAAATTTGTTTATATTGACCATTAATTCGATGTCCCATAAAGGCTGCAGGGGTGGTCAATGAATCGATTTGTGTACATTACAAAATGAGATCAAATGGCGCTTGGGTTTTATGACCCAACGGAGATGGGTGGTAGACAACATTGTCATTTCGTTAAGTCCATTAAAGTAAGCTTATGATCTGATAAAACATCATTGTTGGATTTTAATTAGCAAATTAATGGATAAAAGATTTGAGTACGAAATTTTATTATGCCTATAAACATTTTATAAATGAAATCTCATCACAATATTTTGTAGATATGAAAAATTATTAAATAATAAACAAATAATATTACGAATTAATTCACATTGAAAACAAAAAATAAATGAGAATTATTGATGCAAAAGAGTTGTATTGTTGAATAACAATGTCTGAATAACAATCGAACAAAGTACATGCAGAATAATTGATAAAATATTCCTTTTAGATTTTATCAAATATTTTTTCTCAATATGTAGTGTCAAAAAAACATGTAGTTACAATACTAACTCCGTATCTCAATTCCAAATACCAACAGAATTCTGTATATCAATTTGCGGCATTCTAGCTCTATCTCTTCACCCAATATCAAATTTAGTGAACACTGTATATCAAGCAACCATCAGCCAAACCTTGAACAAGTAAAAATACTGCAAACGGAAAACCATTACCACAGAAGACTCACATTAGAAATGTTACACATCAACAATCTACACACAACAGAGAGAATAAATTTTAAGAGCGACACAGATAACGCAGCTTATTGCTATAGGCATTTGACACAAAAGAAGAGATCGTGCAATATGTAAACAAAATCAGTGCAATATTAACAGCCGACGATGATAGTGCATTCTATCGTAGTTATTAAGTTAACTTGACGATTATTGTTTACAAGTAAGCGATTTTTGTGTAATAACATTGTGTTTGTTTCTATTTCTAATCAATGCTGTGATAGTAATATTAAGAATATTATATTATCTTGTAGATCCCCTGAAGATGCAATTTATACAATTGCGAAATATCGGAGATCAAAAATGAAATAAAATAAAAAACTGGCCTAAAGCTCAAAAAAACTCATATTATTAAATATATTGGAAAATAGGTCGAAAAAACTCACACTTATAATATATAACACGGAGAGCACGCCGAATACCAACAACATGATCTACAGAAACATCAAGTATAAAAACAACATCAAACACAGCATTAACAAACACAAAAACACAAAAGTGAAGATTGCCAAAACAAAATGCTCTTTAACTTTTCTAATTCGATGTCGTAACAACGGCATCATTCCTAACTTTATTAAAAATGCCTTAAAAAATATTCACAATATTTTTAAGACACCTCAAATATACCACATTAAAAATACATTAAAGGGATACATTGATACTTTTCAAAACAAGATTCTCAATCTACTAATTAAACAGAAACATTACGAAATAAAGAACAATCAAAGGGATCAACAAAATATAGAAAAAACTTTGGGAGAAAATCTAACACAACAAGAGATAAACATAGTTACTCAAAACGAAAGCAAAATAATATCGAACATGGAGAACGAAATAAAAAACACACAGAAAAGAAAATTCGAAAAACTTAAACAACAACAAATGATACAACTTGGCATAAAACAGAATGATAAATGGTTTGTAAACAAAACAAACACTCAATTCCCCGATGACGTGAAATGGCTTCTTTCGCTTGGAGAGAAATTTGGACTTCCAACAACAAAATCACAATTCCCACTATTTAAACTAATAGCAGACGGCGAAGACGTAATACAAACATGGAATGACAAAGAACAACAAGAAATGATGAGGACAAAGTTCACAACAATGATAGACACACATATGAATAAGATGAAAGAGAGTGAACGAGATAAATTTATCAACAGCACAGTGGACCGCACCAAAACTTTTTTGAAACAAAATAAAAATATATTAATTTTAAATGCTGACAAAGGAAATGTTACGGTTGCAATGGACATTAATGACTACAAACAGAGGATGAACAGTATTATTTCAGATATGATGACATATCAACGGGTGAACAAAGATCCAACAACAGGTTTGATAAAAAAGAATAATGAACTGGTGGAGGAGCTATACAAAAACAACATTATTACGACAATGGAAAAGAAAAAACTCAGAAGTGACGTGGCTACAGCTCCAAGATTGTATGGACTACCAAAAATCCACAAGGTAGATTTCCCGTTACGCCCGATCTGTTCTTCAATCAATTCTCCGTCGGAAGAACTGTGCAAATATGTGGTTAAAATTTTAAAAAATCTTACCAAATTCTCCAAATATAACGTTCAAGACTCAATGGCGTTCAAAAACAAAGTTAAAAATATGACGATTAAAGAAAATGACAGGATGGTTTCGTTTGACGTAGTATCACTCTTCCCAAGCATACCGATAGATCTTGGTATTCAAATAATCGACGAAAGGTGGGAAGAACTAAAAGAATACACAAATATGACAAAGGGCCTATTTTTAAGTATTCTAAAATTTTGCATTAAAGACAACCGATATTTCAAATACGACGACAAGATATATAAACAAAAGAAAGGACTGCCAATGGGTTCACCAGCTTCTCCAGTTGTGGCGGATATAGTCATGGAGAAACTCTTAGACACCTGCATGGAAAAACTGACGACAAAACCCAAAATATTAACGAAATACGTGGACGATCTCTTTGTGATAACTGGGGAAGATGCAATCAATGATACATTGAATATACTTAACAGTTTCAGCAACAATATCAAATTCACCATGGAGGATGAAATGAATGGATGTTTACCATATCTAGACACAATAATATATAGAAATAAGGACAAATTAGAATTAGACTGGTATCAGAAACCCACGGCATCGGGAAGAATTATAAATTTCTTTTCGAAACATCCCAAGCAAATGATTATAAACACTGCAAAAAATTTAGTACATAGAGTAATGAGCATTAGTGACGAGAAATTCCATAACAAGAACAAACACAAAATCCGAGATATTCTAACAAACAACAATTTTCCAATAAGAATAATAAATAGATTAATAGGACGACGGAATACTACTAGAGAAACCCAAAAAGATGAAAAGATATATAAATCTATGATTTACGTACCAAATTTATCAGAACGATTCCAGAACTCAAATTTATATGACAAGAACAAATATATAATAGCCCAGAAAAACAACAACACTCTCAAAAAGCTATTTAGCCATACAAAAGACAAAATACAAAATCCTGATAAACACAATGTGATATACCAAATACAATGCGATGGCAACCCTAACGAAAAATGTGGGAAATATTATGTTGGTACCACAAAAAATAAATTGAAAACTAGACTATCAGCCCATAAGTCTGATTTAAAAATGAGAAACCAAAATTACACACAAAAAACAGCGCTTGCGGAACACTGTATATCAAGCAACCATCAGCCAAACCTTGAACAAGTAAAAATACTGCAAACGGAAAACCATTACCACAGAAGACTCACATTAGAAATGTTACACATCAACAATCTACACACAACAGAGAGAATAAATTTTAAGAGCGACACAGATAACGCAGCTTATTGCTATAGGCATTTGACACAAAAGAAGAGATCGTGCAATATGTAAACAAAATCAGTGCAATATTAACAGCCGACGATGATAGTGCATTCTATCGTAGTTATTAAGTTAACTTGACGATTATTGTTTACAAGTAAGCGATTTTTGTGTAATAACATTGTGTTTGTTTCTATTTCTAATCAATGCTGTGATAGTAATATTAAGAATATTATATTATCTTGTAGATCCCCTGAAGATGCAATTTATACAATTGCGAAATATCGGAGATCAAAAATGAAATAAAATAAAAAACTGGCCTAAAGCTCAAAAAAACTCATATTATTAAATATATTGGAAAATAGGTCGAAAAAACTCACACTTATGATTTTCATAAAAAATAAAATAAAAATATACCGCCAAATCTCAAACACAGGTACTATCTGAAATCGGCCGAGAGTACATATATGGGAGCTATATCTAAATCTTAACATATTTCTAATTAATTTGTCATATTTATTATTGTAACCATCGGCCGAAATATATGTATGGGAGCTACACCCAAATATATAATTTGGCAATTTTTTTTTTGGTATCAAATTTCGTCTCTCTGCCCGAATTTCTTGGAATCGGGCATATGTTTGGTAATGGTGCATCAAATTTATGAGATCGGCCGAAAATATATATGGGAGCTATATCCAAATCTGAACCGATTTCAATATAATTTGACAAATTTATTTTCGGATCAAATCCCGCTACACATTCCAAATTTCATTGGAATCGAACATAAACATCGTTTTTTTGACATCAAATAAACGAAATCGGTCGAAAATATATATGGGAGCTATATCCAAATCTTTACCGACTTCAATTTAATTTTGCAAATTTATTTTTGTACCAAGTGTAACCACTCAAGCCGAATTTCATTGGAATCGGGCATACGTATACGTGCACCAAAGGCCCATCAAATATGTGAAATCGGTCGAAAACATATATATGAGAGCTGTGTCTAAACCTTAACCGATTTAAATATAATTTGATAAATAAATCGTTAGACCAAATTCAATCACACATTCTGAATTTCATTGATATTTGATATACACAGCGTGTTTGATGCATCAAATACATGAAATCGGCCGAAAATGTATATGGGAGCTCTATCCAATTCTGAACCGATTTCAATATAATTTGGGAAATCAGTTTTTTAGATAAAATCCATCACATGATTTAAATTTCATTGAAATTGGGGATACATAGCGTGTTTGGTGCATCAAACGCTTGAAATCGACCGAAAATATATATGCGTGCCATATTCAAATCTGAACCGATTTCAATTAATTTGACAAATTTATTTTCGGATCAAATCGCGTCACTCCAAAATTCCAAATTTCATTGGAATCGAACATACATATCGTATTTGAGGCATCAAATATACGAAATCGGTCGAAAATATAACTTGGCAAATTTATTTTTGTTCCAAATTCCGTTACGCATTCCAAATTTGTAATAGATCAATAGATATGTGCTATATCTCCAGTTCCAAGTGGAATTTCAAAAATGTATATAGCCTATGTTACTTTCAGGCGATGTTGTTGTTCAGCGGTTTTCGTTCCATAAATTACAAACAACCAAACATACAAAAATTTTCCTCTTTTATAGATATACCTCCAACCTCCATATGTTCAGTCTACACATGAACAGCGACCCCAATACCAAATTTAAGATTTCAAGCACTTTTTTACCCAATACCAAATTTAGCACTATTTAGTACTTTTAGAGCACCTGTAGTACCCATTTCCAAAAGCACCTCTCAAAGCCACCACACAAAAAATTTCAAAATTCCAGTCTCAGCCGTTAACCATAAACCAAACTATTCCAAATTTAGTACAGTTCGCACACTTAGCACATATTTCAAAACCTTAAAGAGAAAGAATATCCAAAAATCATGTGGTACATCTAAACTGCATTTCTTTAGGGACTCCCATTCTAAATTTCAGAATTCTAGTTCATTTATGATTATGATTTAAACCATACTACAATATGTTGAAAGCCCCTTATGTCAAAATCGAATCGTAAGATTTCGCTTTTGAAATTATGTCATAGAGCCCTGCCCAGACGTTACCCTTAGCTTTTTGACCAGGGGAATTTGCCCAATATTTACGGACTCCGTTGTGTTATTAGGTTTGCAAGACAATTGCACACGAAAGTTATGGCCCATTTTGTAGCTAAATATAATCCAATGGTCATTCAAAATTCCGTGTCGGTTGGTTTCCAATGATGACCTTTAGAGCAACTCAAAATCAGGAAAATTTAAATTTTTTTGGTCTATTTGATCCTCTAAACGTAAGTCTTCATCTTTAATTCCCTAACCCTACCCACGTGCAAAATTTCGTGAGGATCGGACGACAAATGTGACCTCTATACAATACCCTCAACAAATGGTGTTGGGGGTATAGAAAAACTTTAGAAAATGCACAATTCAAAATTGTAATACAAATCGAAAAAAGCGCATGGGTTAAACAAATTTGACAAAAATTTAATAAATGTAAAAAAAATATTCGCCTTTTTATTGTCATATTTATATGCGATTTTCTAAGATTTTATAAATTTCTGGCAAGACAGTCGAGCGGTTGTTGGCTTATAAATGGAATAACTATGATATATTTCTTTTACATATATAATGTACCTATTTTACTTTATATCCCATATCTTGGCTATCAGCATCACTGTAATGGTCAGAAGTGATCTTTTTATGTATTAGTGATTTGGCCGGAATTACAGATATTCGCGGTTTAGCGAAAATTTTCGTATTTTTGAAATAATTGATTTGATTTATTTTACCCGTGGACAATATGTCCGATTGTCCAAATTGGTAGGCTTCTGCCCAGCCCTAAACTCCAGCCCTGACTCCATGCAAAATTCCGCGTCGATTGGTTCATAATTGTGGGCTGTAGAGCAACAGCAAAATCTGGAAAATGTTCTTTCAACCCCATTATTATTTTGCAATCATCTCCAAAAAGAGTAAGATTTTATTCTGATCCTAACCCCACCTTCATTTTAAATTTGATGACAATCGGGTCATAATTGCGACCTGTAGCGTGATTACGAAATTAGAATGGACATACGGGCGGACCGACATACATACCTAGATCGATCCCTCTCGGCGAGATTGGAAGATCCATATATAGGTTCCTATGTGGGAGATCAATATTTGAGGGGTTACATAATTTTTGACCCAATCAAACTTATAATACCCAACATATATTGTTGTAGGGTATAAAACGATGTCCGTCTCTCTGTCCGTTGAAATGGGGATACAATCCACATGTTTGGTATTGGTATAGCCTCCATATAACGGCACCTCCCAATATTCGGTATTTTGATGATCTTAGCCAACATTTTTTATGGATTTCTCTAAAAACTGGTATTTATAGTTTTTAATGTTTTATATAGGTTCAGTTTTCCCATATCCCCCATTACCAAAGGTACCCATCGATATACGGGATTTTTTTTTTTGCCATTCGGATTTTTTTCAAAATCGGTATTTGTAGTTAATAATGGGTTCTAAAACCAATTTTAAACTATTTTCATGCTAGTTCAGGATTTTCATATAATGGTAGCCATCGATATTAAATATTTTGATGATCTCAGCCACATTTTTCCTCGGCCTTTTGCATTTGATACGAATCCTTGTAGTAGATAATTGTTCCCGCTTTGGCCTCCATATAACGGATCGGCACACTTATTTGCATTGTAAAACCCTGGAGGGTAATGAAATTTTGACCTGTCGAACTTAAGGTTTTTTAATTGTTTGACCGATATGATTGATTTACTAGAAGACGAGGTTAGGACATAAGGAAATTCCAAAATATTTCAGAAGTACATACATACCATTCAATTCCCAAAATATTTCTGAAATTACTGACAATTATATATGTCGCTTCCAATGTCCTCTTGTATTAAATTATTTTCATATCCTAGCACTATCAAAACCTAATTCACTTCCTCTCAGCACCATCAATCTCCCACCGCTGGACACCTTTAGGAAATAGTTGAGAGTTTAAAATAAATACGGAAGTTTCCACTTCAAAATCATTTGCAAACATATCAAATTTCTTTACAGAGGTAACCAACATTTTGTTTTGACATTTTCGTGCAATTTCTTGGAAAACCTTTCTCAACAAAAAAAGGAAGAAAATCTAGTAAACCCAAAAACCGCCCAAGAATAAAGAATCCATCACAATCCAGGACAAAATGTAAACTACAAAGTTTAACTTTAACACGGCTAAATACAACAAGATTAACAAAACTCCCACAATCGGTAAATAGCTGGTGCTGCTGTCTGAGCGTACATGTCCGTGTGTTGCATTGTGTTTAAATGCCGCGCTTACTGGATCGACAACAAAGGTAACAGGTCATATTACATGTATGCATGTCTGTATGTACCAACCAACCAAAAGAGATTTGATTTGATTTATTTTGAAAGACGAATGTAAACGTTTGTTGTACAAACATGCCATACATACGAGGATTCTAGCATTGTTTCCCAGAAATCGAATCTCAAGATCAGTGCAAACAAGGCCGTCAACAAATGATTACGCGTATGAAGTAACAATTTGGCTTAGAGAAATCAATGCCGGAATTACATACATGTATCTTAGTTTAGTTTTTTTTTTTTCTAAGGATCTACATCTTTACTAAATCACGCCTAAACCAAGGACTTTTAGGGTTTAGCAAAGAAGTAACCACAAACGAAACCACAATGGTCAAATCTAATATTTATTCAAATAACCAACCTTGTGCACCATTGATATTACTTTGCTTGGCGGAGGCCCACAACCTCAACAAGATTAAGATGTTCCGTGTGAGATAAATCGCCGATAGATTTGCTAAGATCTCATTTTAATCATGTATGTATGAATGCATATAGGTGGTGACGGATAGTGGTATGCAAATCCCAGAGATGCAAACAAATCCTTGAATGTCCTGATTTTATCTATGATTATGTTTTTCGTTATTTCTTTCTCTTTGTTATGGTAAAAGATTGGCCCTACTGCACATGTGGGGATTTTGCATAATTTGTTGTGGCTTAACAAATTGTTATAATCGTGCGGTTTCGCCTTGTTCCTATTTTATCAGATCTTTGGGTGTGTTCTACAATAATGGGATATATAATTGGCTCAAAATTACACAGTGCAGTGATAATGATCAGGATTTTCAAGACAGCTGGGGGATTCGAAGGATCTACAAAGAAAATGAAAAAAATGTTATTATTGTAAAAAAACAAATCCACGATAGTTCTGCAAAATATACTCAAAAATCTTCAATCGTTATTTTGAT